ATCTTGAAGATCGTCCAAACGGTCCCAGAAGAACTTCTGACACCAATGTAATAAACCTTCTCGAGACGGCTTCTGGAATCAGTCCTTTATTTTCCACTTCCACAGTTACACACACTCCCTGTTGCTGGCAGGCAACGGGAAGCGGGCAGACAGCCAGCGAAGTCGCACCGCGCACGTGGCACCCAGAGCCCCGTACGCGCGTGGCTCCTGCTCTTCGTTCCCAGGTCTGCTCCCGACTCCTCCGTCTCTCCCCCTCTTAACCCCTGGGTCACGTAGTACCCCTAAGCCAATCCTCAGTAGTCAGCGTCGAACGCTACAGATCACTCCCGGTCAACTCCCGGGACCACGCCTCTGATCCAGCTTCCCATTAGCTGAGGCCAAGATCGGCCAAGCCAATCACCCTAGCTAACATGCCGTGATCACGCCGAGGCCATGCTCCCGGGCTCTCCCCTCATTGGCTACAAAGCGGGACCGGCAAGCCGATCGCCACGTGAGCCATACATGGCTCTTATTACACCTGTACAAATCGCTGCAACACTCAGTCCATCTCTTTTTTGTCTTTTCTTTGTCCATCAAGATCTTACCATTCCTGCCTTTTATCGCCGTTTGCCTTGGTTGCAATTTCCTTTTTGTGCTCGACTAGTGTGTACACCTCCTTGGTCTTGTATTCTCCAGCATAGTATTCAATGTCGCTACATTGCTTTTATAGCAATTTCTCCTTTCTTGCCAATGCCCTTACCCCATTGCATATGTTTTTTTGTACTTAGTCGCCATCTCATCCGATTCCTTTATCTTTATTTTTCTCTTTCCTGTGCGACTTTTAAATTAAATCTTGACTTAAAGCTTTCATGACTGCAGGAATTCATATTCTTTGGGTCTTTTGGTAAAGTCTATCTACGTGACTTTACCAAAAGACCCAAAGAATATGGACTTTTCAAAAAAATATTTCGGGTTGTAATACTAAGGGTATTCATACTCTTTGGTTCTTTTGGTAAAGTCACGTAGGTATAAAAATAAAATTAAATAAATCACGACGTTTCCGGCGTAACACAAGCGTCCGTCATCAGATGGGAAAGCATGGCCTGCTGCTGATGCAGACTGTTTTAAAGGTTTGAAATGGGTGTAGCTCATTCGTTTAGTCCCACAACTGGACTGGATTTATTGCATAAACAAGTATCAATGACTACACCATCATCCACGGGAGAAGACGAGTTGCCTGCATTCGTGGCTGTGGCAGATCTATAAACCCCTCACACATGTTCAACCGCTCAGTGAAGGTACATTTCCGATAGAGTGGAAATCCACTCTTATTCATCCAGTATATAAAAATGTCTCCAAAGAAGACTCTATAAGTTAAAGACCAATCTCTATTCTCTCAACAGTTACTAAAATAGAAAAAAATACTTAAATGACAATAAACTGCTACCTAAAAACTCACAATCTCCTTCACAGTAAACAGTCTGGTTTTCAAGAGGATTACTATACCACTACAGCAATGGTGGATGTATAACATTTTACTGGTAGGAACCTCCTGGTTACACCACAGGGGATTATTGTGTCCGTTCGTCCGTCGTGCAGGGAGGGGCTGGGTGGGGAGGGAGGGGCTGGGTGGGGGGTGGGAGAGAGGGGTGGGGCTGGGTGGAGAGGGGCTGGTCACCTCGTGGTGCCCTTATAAAACTCAACGTTTAACTTACTCACGCCGGCTTGTGCCCGCCCTCACAGTCGGGCATATTTGCGGAATACACCACGCCGCCGTTGACCCTGGCCATTGACTGAGCAACCCAACGTTCCTACCAGCTCCCTCCGCAGGATGTGTTCTCTTCAGTAACTTGGATAAAGGCCACTACTGCTGTCTACTATTCCTCGATTTGCCAAAAGCATTTTGACACTGTTGATCATACGATTCTACACACAAAACTTTGTCCACTAACAAATATTGTTTCAGTGATATGCTTACCTTTCCTATACTTTTAACTCCTATTGTGTTTGGTATTGTTTGTTTGACCCGCCTCTATTGAACGTCTGTGACAAAGAGCCTCATAGCTCGTCGGATTCCTCCTGCAGTCTAAATAAAGATTCTGATCAAATAAACCATTCTGATCTCCGGAACGTATCCCTCGCGGATAACGAGGGAAACACATTCCTGCGGAGGGAGCTGCTAGGAACGTTGGGTTGCTCGGTCAATGGCCAGGGTCAACGGCGGCGTGGTGTATTCCGCAAATATGGCCCGACTGTGAGGGCGGGCACAAGCCGGCGTGAGTAGGTTAAACGTTGAGTTTTATAAGGGCACCACGGGGTGACCAGCCCCTCTCCACCCAGCCCCACCCCTCCCACCCCCCACCCAGCCCCTCCCCACCCTCCCCTCTCCACCCAGCCCCACCCCTCCCATTTTTGGATTCACGACGGACGGACGGACACAATAATCCCCTGTGGGACTGGTGGAACTAGGTGGTTCCTACCAGTATAGTGTACACAACTAATTGCCATGGGTACTGCAAGATCCAAGCATAGCGGTTGCATTGGCATCTCGGTTGCTCAATTACTATATCACAAAGTCGTGCTTATTACACACAAAGTGCTCACTACAAACGAACCACAGTAACTTTCTGAGCTTGTCAAGGGCCATCGCACGACGCCGGTTGTCCTTAGAGTGGCGTTCAGCTACGCACCAAATGAAGATGGTCATGGTATTGCGTGCTTTTAGCGGTGCCTCTGCAACTGTCTGCAACAATCTCCCTTCTGACATTAGAAGCTCACTAGAACTGTGCACTTTAAATCTGCATTAAAAAACTCGGTTATTGAGGACTGCTTTTAACAGTAGGCTGTTGTCCCTCGTCCGCACCTCTGATGAGCAGTTTTCTACATAAAGTGCAAAAGAGGTTCAACATACATACATTTTACAGGTAGATGCGTCACAAATCCAAGCCGTATTCTCTGTAACGGCAATGGTGAATAGTTGGTAGATTAATCCATTAGATCTTTGTGAGAGTTGATTATAATCCAGTCACAACCAAAAAAAAACCGTGACCAAATTAACCATATATAAAATATATTTATTAAAAACACACGCGATATGTAGCTAGGTAACTTAAGGGGTTCGTATCACCAGATCAACTCACCTAGTCAGCACCATTGAGACCTTGGTTTTACACCAAGCAGTGACCCAAGTTAGATGACCTCAGTCCCCTAATCAAGAGTGGATAATCGAGCGGCCAGGCATTTAGAACAAATCCAAGATATTGGATGTGGAGTCAAGCCAGATTGCTTTTAAATGCAACAGTCGTGACAATGACAACAGCTGAGACAAGCACGAGAGGTAGCTTGATGATCGAGTGGCCGTTCTCACAACTAACCATGTAGCTCCATACAGGTTTGCGATTACGTTTGATGATCCTTGCTTTTGCCATTTTGATTGCAAAACCTCCTAGTGGTTGCCAGCTCTACATACAAAATGTATGCAATTGCTTCGTGAACGACTCAATGGATGTCATCACATATGTCGGACTCGATGTTATGCCTTATTATATGTCCAGTAATGTGCTACATGAGCAGAGCGACGAGAAGAGATTGATGATGATGAAAGTGGCCGTTGGGACAACTACGACAGGTCCAGTAACAGAGAAACAAGGCAATTAAATCAATGCCGCAGTGATTCATGCACACAGAAGGCAGGTAGAGGAGCCAGACATCAACTAGAAGCTCCGTCCCAAAAGAACTCCAACCTCAGATGGACTCTAACGTGAAAGCTTTTCTGGAGTCAACAATTATGTGGCTTGCAAAAGCAAGCCAACAATATTCAAGGTTTCTTCATCTCAATCAGGTAAATATGGATATGTGAAATACCGTTGTAAAGTTCATGTGCTCGCGCAGCTGCATTGGCTTCCGGATGCCATACGAAGACGTTATAAGGTCGCAGTCATTACACATCAAGTGCTTGCCATAAAACACATTCCTGCGGAGGGAGCTGGTAGGAACGTTGGGTTGCTCGGTCAATGGCCAGGGTCAACGGCGGCGTGGTGTATTCCGCAAATATGGCCGACTGTGAGGGCGGGCACAAGCCGGCGTGAGTAGGTTAAACGTTGAGTTTTATAAGGGCACCACGGGGTGACCAGCCCCTCCCCACCCAGCCCCTCCAACCACCCAGCCCCACCCCCCACCCAGCCCCACCCCTCCCACCCTCCCCACCCAGCCCCTCCCCACCCAGCCCCTCCCCACCTTCTCCTCCCCACCCAGCCCCTCCCTATCCAGCCCCTCCCCACCCCACCCAGACCCTCCCCACCCAGCCCCTACCCACCCAGCCCCTCCCCACCCTCCCCTGTCCACTCAGCCCCACCCCTCCCATTTTTGGATGCACGACGGACGGACGGACGGACACAATAATCCCCTGTGGGCTGGTGTAACCAGGAGGTTCCTATCAGTACCACAATACCTTGCTGATCTCGTCAAGGAGGATAAACCATTACACACTCCGGTCATCCTCGCAGCATTAGCTTTCGGCGAGCCATTTAACAAAGACGGTCACCGCATCGGCCGCTTTTAGATGCGCTTCTGCAGCCATCTGGAACGCTCTTCCTTCCAATATTAGGAAGCCACTGGAGCTATGCAATCTAAAATCATCTAGATTGGAAACTAATTTCTTTACCACTGCATTTTGTGTTAAGTTTGTTCTTCACCCACACATCAAATTAGCACGGTTGCCGAAAAAAGTTCAACGTCCATACATACATGTCAACACACACAACTTAAAAAAATATCTTGCGATTTCTAGATATTCATATAAAGCACTTAATCGCTATGTTCATGGTAGGCACAGCTAGATGGCATCGAGCCGTCGTTGAAAATTGTACCAGGTGGGGTCGCAGTTAAGGATGCTCATAGAGACTCTGACACAACTCGCAGCAGCCTCTCCCTGTTGGAGAAACAACAAATCACTTGGCATTAGACAAGCTGAATAAAACATGAAGTGGAGGTTGGAGTCAGGGTCCAGGGTGGCTCTGCCGGGTCCTCAGGTTAAAACCAGCTCCTGTTTTCCTGCGGTTGTCCCAGTCCCGTCCACGGGCCCTGTTCCAGTTCCTGGCTTCGCCCTCCCAGGGGCCCGGGGCCGGAGTCTCTGGGGCCAGAGTCTCCGTTGCCAGCGCCTCCACCGGGTGGCCGTAGTGGTGGCTCCCCCACTCGCTTCATCGCTGCCAGCTCCTGCAGGGCAGCGGCGATGGAGCCCAAGTGGCGCTCGGCGTGCCGCTGGCTCTCGGCCTGCTCCCTCAGCAGGCGCAGGTGCTCGAGGCCCTGGGCCACAAGCTGCTGCTGCGTCTCGGCCAGTGTGTCCAGTCGCGACAGCAGCTCGCCCACGGGTCGGCCGAGCTCGCGCGCGGTCGCGTCACACTCGTGCGCGGTGGAGTCATGCTCAGTCGCGTCACGCTCACGCGTGGTCACGGCAATGCGAGGGGCCGGGGCCTGGGGTGGGTGAGGGGCCGCTGCATGCGCACCCCTGTGGGACACACGGGGGGGGAACCGCTGAGGAAAAATGGTGGCCGGGGCTGGGCAGGGCAGCGCGGACGACTTCTCCGTGCTGGAGATGGGGGCGAGGGGGCGTCCACCCACAACGACGGGCGGAGAGGAGGAGCCTCTCGCCGCCCATGCCTCGTCCGAACTCTCCGCCAGCTCCTCCTCATGCCGCTCCTCCTCCTCTTCCTCGTCTTCCTCCTCCTCCTCCACATTATCCCCCGCTCCACATCGGAGATAGACGACGACTCGTCTGCTCCCTCTTCCGTCGACTTCGCCGCCGCGTAGTGCAGCGGGCCGCCCACCAGCGGTGCCACGGGGCCCAATACCAGGAGGTCAACAGCCTTTTCGTCCGGCCACGCGTCGGCCCCCGCTGCCACCATAGCAGGCGGCTCTGCCCCGTCGCCGCGGTCGATGGAGCCTCGTGCGGACCACCCCACGTCCCAGACGGCGAGGCCCTCCATGGACAGCTCAGGGAAGGTGCCGAGGGCGAGCTCCTCTGGTCGGGTGAGCACGACCCCGACCGGCAGCCGCTTGATCCCCGTGAGCTCGGCGCTGCCGGCTGCCCGCAAGGCCTTCCTCTTGGCCCACCGCCGGAGGTCGTCCCAACGGCGCCGGCACTGGTCGCGCGTGCGGGGGAAGATGCTGTGCGCCCGCACCGCGTGGGCGATCTCGGCCCAGGCCCGGCGACGCGTGGCCGCGTTGGCGAGGGCGCCGCCATGGCCGTAGAGGGGCCCCACGCGGCGGGCTGCTTCCTGCGCCAGGGTGAGCATCTCGCGTGGGGAGAACCGCGTCACCCGAGGGCCCCGCACCTTCTTCACGAGGCGCCGCATTGCCAGCCTGGATCCTCGCTGGCACGGCCAGTCCGGCGGAGGGGGAGGTTGGGTGGGGGGTGGGGGGCAATTCATTCAGACCCTGAGGAAGTCCCACAATCTCTCACGACTGCACGTGAAATATAAAAACTCACATAGCGGCACACAGCTCTCACCTCTGGATAGTACAATGGAGGCCATTAAGTAACTTGAACCATGCAAGGCTGCAAGCCTAAGATCATCTTTAACAACGAATTACTCATCAATATCAGACAGCCTGCAGCACGTGCACTGCATGACAACTTCATGTATCATGGACCAATTACATACGACATGTACAAATAGAAGTTTATCAGATCATACATGACGACTTAATGAAAGTTATCACAACTGCAGGAATCAACATTGAGCATTGTTACATGTCCTGGAATCTGCTACTTTAGTAGCGAGAGCAGATCAACAACGATGAGGAATGATGCTGAGAGTGGCCATCGTGACGACCATGATTGCAGCAGTAACAAATAAACAAGGGGATTGACATCAACTTAAACATAACAAGGCTGTCAGCCAAAGATCTTCTTTACAACAAATTCCTCATCCACACGGGATAGTTTGCACTCTCATGGCTGCACATGTTTTTCAAGTGCTGCATGACCTTTGATTTAAAGCATTCGTGACTGCAGGGATTCATATTCTTGGTTCTTTCGTTAAAGTCACGTAGAAGGGAAATAATAAAATAATAAAAATAAAACAATACAATATGCTGCATGACCGTTCGCTTATCCCAAAGGGCTAATAAAACTGCGATTCCAAAATGTATTTCAAACCCAAAACAGATCCCAAAGAGCTAAATGTCTGACCAATATCCTGTGCTCAATGTCCAAAGCTGAAGGGAGGCTTATCCTCAAATGCTTTTGACAAGAGTTGATGAACAGGTGCCTCCAAAACGGGCTGCCTTCAGGCAATAATTTCTGCACACAAGACCTCGTCTGCCACCTGACAAAAGATATATACACGTATCTGAATCAGTATTTATACTGCAAGAGCAATCCGATGAACTATAGAGCTCTTTTTCACAGATGTTTAGTAGGGGCACTGGATCAGAACGTTACAACACAATACAAAACACGATAGTCGTGCAACGTACAAGAGAGGTGAACAAATCACCCAAATACAAACACATACATTTAAACCCATAACAGAGGTCTTTTGGGTTAGATCGCATAAATATATAAATGTGTCGTTAAAACCCGTCACCACCCGACACAGCCAACTAGTAAGGGTTGTCACGTAAACAGAACGTGGCCAATTCGTCACGAGTAAAGCACACCGGTGTGTTGGAGAGCCAAGCCTCAACATTTACAAACTGAGTACGACGTTTCGCCACTAATTTCAACTAGATTCATCAGGCGACAGCCAGATTTGAAATCTAGCTTCATCAGGCGAAAGCCAGATTTCATCATACATGGAAAGTGTAGGCCAGGCGAAACAGGTGAGTATTTAGAGCAGATGTAAACAAGGTTAGTGACCTTGCCTGTCCCACCACAGGTGGCAGGGTGTTCCATAGACTTTGGGCAGGGCATGAAAATGCTCAGCACATGGAGGAGATGTAAATTAGCAGATTAGAGATGTTGTGATGGTACATGCAAGTGAATCAGCTGTTGAATGTAAAATGGTGCAAGGCCATTTGAGGCCTTGTATGTTAGCAGCAACACTTTAAATTGGACCCTTAATTTAATTTTAAGCCAATGCAGATATTTTATTATAGTGCTAAAAATATGCTCACAGAATGAGGTTTGCGCGAGCATCCTGGCAGTCACGTTCTGGAGCAGCTGCAGGAGGCCCAAGACTTTGGTTGGAACCCCGAGTAACAAAGGCATTGCATATATAGGCGTCAGGGTCAGGATCGAACCCACAACCTCCTGCATACCAGGCGTGGTGGTTAACATCTCGTCACCAAATGGCAATGCTTTAAACACCTCACTCTGCACTCAATTAAGGCTGAGTCGACACGGGGGCGGTCCACATACAGGTACGGTTATCACTCTCAATTGATGCAAACCATGGTCGAGAATTTAAGTGGAATGTGCTGACCACTGTGCCACCACTTCCCACCACTTAACACTAGCCATATATAATGTATGTACGAACAGTCCTCTTGGTTATTAACCTAATTAGTTCCTGAGACCCTTCGATTTAAAGCTTTCGTGACTGCAGGGATTCATCTTCTTGGTTCTTTCGGTAAAGTCACGTAGAAGGGAAATAATAAAATAATAAAAATAAAACATAATAAAATAATTCTCATGACGTTTCGGCCACAACGCAAGCAGCCGTCCTCAGGTGAAGAACAGGTCTGTCGGGAAGACAGCGTCTGAATGAAACACCCCAGGCTTGGAGCGTATATTTAAGCTGGGTTGGAAGGGGAAGAGCGCCTTGACAAAAGAAGGCGCTCTTCCCCCTCCAACCCAGCTTAAATATACGCTCCAAGCCTGGGGTGTTTCATTCAGACGCTGTCTTCCCGACAGACCTGTTCTTTCTGAGACCCGTCCGTAAGTCGAATGGTTCGTAAGTCGGAACACAATAATGCACCGCATTTAAATGCCCATACGGATGCCCGATCCCATCACTCTTGGAAACGAATTTGGCACAAACCCCGGCAAGGTCTAAGACCCCCCCCTCCTCTCAGGACAAATAAATTTAAGTTCCTACATGGCACATATCCCACTAACCAACTGAGGGATAAATTCTCCCAGACTGCCTTAGGTGCCCCCCGGGCACCATCCAAACGTACATTCACATCTTCTGGACATTCTATGGTAAAATAACCGATCTGTACAATGTGATGTCCGGCACCGATATACTACCTAGCATTGAATCCTCCCTCCTGGGCCTTAAAACCCTCGTGAATGCCACTCCAGAGACCCTGAGTGTACTTGACTAAACTTCAAATGAGACTGACTCCCCCCACCCCCTATCTGACGCACCACATACCACTGGGATTTTTGCACACAGTGTTGGTGTACGGTGCTTTTTCTGCAATATTTTGCTGTCTTTTCTTGGATTTTCTGTTTGCACATAGTCACTTTAAGATGTTTTCTTGTTCATGTTTTTTTTGTTTGTTGCGGTTGCACCCGATTCAAGAGCCGAATGGCTCACAGGGCTATACCTAATATATGAAACTTGAAATTTGAAATAAATGAAACTTGGCACTAAGGTCCTACGCGTCCGCGTTGGTTCTCTGTCCGAGCCGCCTATCCCGTTATGCACCAGTTCACTGGCTAGGTGGTGTTGGTCAGAAATGCAGTGGGATTAAATTGCTGTGTCAACACTGACCGCATTGCAACGAGGGTGGGAAGGAGGGGGTGTGATAATGTGGCACTTAGGTAGGGACCCACTCACCAGAGGTCGCAACCGGGTACCCAATACCCGTACCCTACCCGATACCCGGCTACCCGTACCCGGCCGGGTACGGGTACGGGTAGCCATTTGCGACCCTGGTGCAGCCGGGTACGGGTACGGGTAGACCGTGAGTCACTGGTGAGTAACCCTTTGTCACTAATTTCGGGTAGGGTACGGGTAGGGAACGGGTACCCGTTCCCGGCCGGGTACTGGGTACGGGTATCCATTTGCGACCCTGGTGCGGCCGGATACGGGTACGGGTAAGGAATTAAAACCCGTTTGCGACCTCTGCCACTCACCTCTCTGCTGTTACTGCACAGGGAGTATTGTAAGAGATGTGGGGTGAAGGGCAGCTATCTAAACCTGCCTGGTACAACTCAAGGCTCAGTGACATCGCAAAACAGGCTCCCTTGCTCCCGGGGCAGCTGTACACTTCAAAGACAAAGATCCCCCATGTAGCCTTAACAGACTGTTGGGACTATTTTTGTTTCTATTTCATGGAAGTTGGCTCTTAAGTACGGGCATTCATAAGTCGGGCGTTAGTAAGTAGAGGAATGCCTGTAGGTAAAGAATCAAACATAGCAACAGTCCTGCTCACCTCCTGAGATGCAGGCGCAGGTGAGACGTAGTGAAACTGGAGCGTGGGTGCCCAACTCCGCCCTGAACGACACACACACAACGACGTCACACTTCACAGGGAAGACACACAATGTCATACGTACAGCGACGTCACAGCGACGTCACAGCGACGTCACACACAGCAATTTCACACGCACAGCGACGTCACATGCACAGCGATGTCACACGATGACACCAGCACTGCACATCTCTCCCGCCCTCTCCCCGCGTTCCACCGGACAGCGTTTGCCGTCATTCCATGCCACCCCTACTATTGCTATTTAAACTATTTTATTTTTATTTCACCAGGTAAGGCCCACTGAGCTGCTATATAGCTCTTTTTCAGAAGCGACTTGGCTATGACAAACAATATCTCAACCAAGTAGCTCATGTGGAAATTTGTAGCAGCCAAACACTCGAAATGCACGTTTATAAACGTGGAGGGAAAAACCAGAGGACCCGGAGAAAAATCCATGCGACCACAGGGAGAGAGACACACAAAACTCCAAATAAACACAGGTGGCATCAGTGTCGGGATCGAAGCCATGACATCCTGCATGCCGGGTGAGCTACTTAACATTCCCTAACCACCGCCCAGTGCCCCTGGCATCGTCCGCCCAAGAAGAGCGTGACCACGGATGACCGCACGGGTGCCGCCGCTACTCACCGTCGCCCGTATCCTCCAGCTCCACCTCCACCTCCGCAAACGGGCACGGAGCCATACGGTTCCCCCGCGTCTCCTCTCCCAGCCCTGCACGTCGGTCACCGCCACCGCCGTAAGTGTCTTCGCCGGCCTGGAGGACCCATCCATCAGCTTGCATACCTAGTTGAGCAGCGCACACCTCCTGAGCCCTGCCCGCCACGGGCGGAAACAGCGGCACATGTAGTACTGGTGCCTCTCACCAAGAGAGAGAGAGTCGTGATTTTTATTTTATTTATTTTTTACTTTTATTAATTTACATTTTTTACCTACGTGACTTTCCCGAAAAAACCTAAGAATATAGTCCTCTCACCGCTGCTTCACGTGGGCACGCCTGCACAGACCTCTGCAGGGCTCCTCAGCGACTCCCACCACTGTGTCGTGGCACCCGGCACTAAAATTGTATATCACTGAGCACTGACAGCTGTCAAGCTGACACTTATACATTTAAAATTCTACAAACTAAATTGCTGTGTCAACACTGACCGCATTGCAAGGGGGTGGGAAGGAGGGGGTGTGATAATGTGGCAGTTAGGGACCCACTTCACCTCTCTGCTGTTACTGCACAGGGAGTATTGTAAGAGATGTGGGGTGATGGCAGCTATCTAAACCTGCCTGGTACAACCCAAGGCTCAGTAACATCGCAGAACAGGCTCCCTTGCTTCCGGGTCAACTGCACACTTCAAAGACAAAGATCCCCCGTGTAGCCTTAACAGACTGTTGGGGCAAGTGCTGTTAGCGAGTAGCACCTATGAAGGCCAGCACGGCACACGAGGGGGTGGGTAGCCAGCACCACGCCCGGCCACCTTTTTCTTCCCAGTGGCGATGTTTACACACCGCACCAGGTACTCATTTGAGGTTGAGTTGACCTAGGGGAGGCCCAGCACCGATTCAGATAATGGTCACTGGTGTTGGCCGTGAGCGGGAATTGAACTCGGGTCACCAGGTTAGTAGCGCAGCGTAGCGCTAACCGCTACAATACAAAATTTTGATTTAAAGCTTTCGTGACTGCAGGGATTCATATTCTTGGTTCTTTCGGTAAAGTCACGTAGAAGGGAAATAATAAAATAATATAAATATAAAACAATAAAAAATAATAAAGATTTTTTTATAATAAAGATTTTTATTGTTTTATGTTTATATTATTTTATTATTTCCCTTCTACGTGACTTTACCGACAGAACCAAGAATACGCTACAATACTTTACATGTCACGCACACACAAATACCGTTTCGTGCAGCGCAAGCAACGGTGACCGTGCGTCGTCAAGTGCCCCCACATCGTGGACCTGAAAAATTCTTTGTCGTTCAGATTAGGAATCATCGGGGGGAGGAGAATCACCATGGGAGGGATGACGACTTACTTTCAGTCTTCACGGGAAGCCTGGTAGATGTGCGATCACCGCTCCTGCAGCCAGCACCTGTTGAGGATCAAAAGAGCGAAGTGCACCGACTCTGAACACACAGGCGCACCTTGCAATGGGTAGTGTCGGGAGAAAGTGGCTTCTAAACCACGCATGTTCAAGCCGCACGTCGTATCATCCCAAGGCGCCAATGGGTGCAGTTAAACCGCTTCAGGTGCGACCAGGGAGTGTGTGCAGCTTCCGAACATCGATGGGGCGTGTTTTTCGATTTAAAGCTTTCGTGACTGCAGGGATTCATCTTCTTGGTTCTTTCGGTAAAGTCACGTAGAATGGAAATAATAAAACATAATAAAATAATTATCACGACGTTTCGGCCGCAACGCAAGCAGCCGTCCTCAGGTCCTCAGGTGAAGAACAGGTCTGTCATGTCTTCACGACAGACCTGTTCTTCACCTGAGGAAGGCTGCTTGCGTTGTGGCCGAAACGTCGTGAGAATTATTTTATTATGTTTTATTTTTTTATTTCCATTCTACGTGACTTTACCGAAAGAACCAAGAAGATCGATGGGGCGTGTTTACGCGACGGCCCACTGTGTGAATGCGGGGAGCAGAATGTCGCACAGTTTTCAGTTGTAAATTGGGGGTGGTGGTGGTGGTGCTGTTGGGGGTGGTGGTGGAGGCTCCTGGTGAGCCCAGGGGTTGCTCGTGAGAGGCGGTTATCACTGCGGCAGTCCCCCTCGCCTTTCCACAGCGCCGCGTCTGTGGGTGGAGACTGCCAATGCATGGCGGCCGCAGCAGCGGCGGTGGTGGAGTCAAGGGTAGTAAGTGATGTGCTGATGTACGAACCCTATCTTCATTCTTTGGTGGATATTTCCCTCCGTTCTCAAAAGACACCGAATAACCCTCTCATACTCCCTGGGTACAACGAACAGCCACCATTCAACGTCACCACGGCAGCTTGTGCCAGGGTATGTGCACGTCCACTACAAAACACCGCACGGCACCGTGCTATATCCCGCAGCGGCGGCAGCAGCTTGCACCGGCTGGTAGCAGCTGCAGCAGTAGCAGTAGTAGCATTAGTAGCAGCAGTGGTAGCAGTGACAGTAGCAGTAGCGGCAGCAGCTAGCGGCAGCGGCAGCAGCAGCAGGGAGCGCCACCTGCCTTGGGCCAAGCCGTCGCGCGTCATGTTCACCTCCAGCCACATATCACAGCCGGCCCTGCGCTCATGCACGTTCTTCACAATCGGTTCTACGGAGGAGGGCAGAGAGGGGAGCGACAGAGTTAACGCACGCAACGTTGCATCGCCAAGATCACCACCACGCCTGGTATGAGGTCGATCCTGACCCTGATGACGCCTGCTGTATATGTGGAGTTTGCGTGTCTCTCTGTCTCTCGCCACGGTGGCTAAGAGATGTTAACTACCTCGCCTGGTATCCAGGAGGTCGTGGGTTTATCTCGACCCTGACACCTGCTGTATATTTGGAGTTTGCGTGTCTCTCTGTCTCTCGCCATGGTGGCTAAGAGATGTTAAATGTGTGAGAGGTGGGGGGGGGGGGGTGGTGGGGGTGGTGGGGGTGGTGGGGGTGGTGGTGGTGGTGGCGGCGGTGGTGGCGGCGGTGGTGGCGGTGGTGGCGGTGGCGGCGGTGGCTCCTAGTGACCCCAGGAGGTGCTCGTGAGGGATGCTTCTCACCGCGGCCGTCCCCCTCGCGTTTCCACGGTGTCCCATCTGCGGGTGGAGACTGGCGTCTCCAGGCTGCATCCTCCTGCTTTACCCTCGGGCACTGGGAGGGAGCGGAGAGCGGCAGGGACAGAGAGCCGGCCTCCATGGCAGCCACCGCCACCGTTACCGCCGCTGCACGGAAGGGAACGCACACTCGCTCACTCATCGTTCACCGCGCGAAAGCTGAACAATTTTTTATTTTACCAGGTAAGGCCCACTAAGGTATGTAGCTATTTTTCAGAAGCGACCTCGCTATCACAAATGATAGCTCAATGAAGTGGCTTATCATGTGGAAATGTATAGCAACCAAATATTCTTAAAACGGATATCGATTCTAAATGTTGAGTGGAATACCAGAGGACCTGGATACAAATCCAAGCGACCACGGGGAGAGAGAGAGACATACAAACTCCAAATATGCAGCCGGCATCAGGGTCAGGATCAAACCCACAACCTCCTGTATACCAGGCGAGGTAGTTAACATATCCTAGCCACCGCAGCTCTGCCACATTATTATCTGTCCATCAGCATTTTCGGTATTTTCATTGTTGTTATCATCCTAAACGTCACACGCATCCCATCGTCGTCATCATCATCAACGTCCACTCATTTGAGGCTGAGTCGACCTGGGGGAGGCCCATGTGTGGTTACTAACATCATCACCACCATCACCAACATAACCACCATTATTATCATCATCATCAACACCATCATCACATCACCACCATGATCACCATCACCAACATAATCACCATCACCACCATCATCACCGTCATCACCACCATCACCACCATCATCATCATCACCACCAAAGAGAAAGATCCCCCATACAGCCTTAATATACTCTTGAGGCAATTGCTGTTAGCGAGCACAAATTCACCACTAAGTGACGGTGACGTCACTACGGTGCCTGTGCCAGGCCAGGTGCACTTTGAGGCCATGGGAAGTGTCGAAGGCTCGTTGACACGAGGTCTCGGGACAGATCCCAGGTACCATGGGTTGGCTGACTGAGATGACTGGTAGATGCACCAGCTGTACCCCCTACTGTGCCTACTTGCTGAATTTTAGCCACCCGGTACTTCACTCATTGTTGTGAGGATCGCTCCTCTGCCCTCCGTTGTTGCTGGAGGGCGATTACCTCCAACTGCCTCGTAGCGTTCTTCACGAGCCTCCTCTATCGAGGCCAATCTTGACACCGCTCATACCATTTGTCGGCAAGTGCACTCAGCACCACATTCTCCTGTACCAAATCAGTCCATGTCTTCTCCAGCCCATGTCGTGCCCATTTAGCCCACTCTATGTGGCCAAACAAAAGCTGCTTAGGCTGGGTATGCGGGCTACATGACCCAGCCAACGCAGCCTTGCCTGCCAGAGGAGCTCACTGATGGGAATGTGTCCAGATCTTTCAAGGATTTGTGAGCTCCTCACACAATCTAGCCTGGTTAAACCCAGGATGGATCGTAGGCATGCCAACCTGAATGTTTCTAACCGGCGCAGATTATTCCATTAGAGGGGTCCACGTTTCACAAGCATAGAAAAGGGGGGATATGACTGTGGCCAAGAAGACCCGAAGCTTCATGAGAAGCTACAGACTAGGTAGCTTCCACGCAGCATTGTGCAGCTGATGAAAAAACAATGCCGCCCGACTGATTCGGAGTGAGACCTCTGCTGTCAAACGGGAGCTGGTCATAAGCACAATGCCCACGTATGGGAAACTCTCCACTCTCTCCACAACTGCTCCATCACCAATTGGGAGCTGAGGGGGTGGAGTGTTTGGTGGCACAAAATACCCAGGGACGTGCTTAGTTTTAGTGGGGCTGCTGGTAAGGCCACACCTCTTAGTGGCACGCTCCAGGTTCAGCAGCAGCACCTCCATCTCCTCTTCTGAGTAAGCAGCAATCACCAGATAATGATGGTTGACCAATAAGGAGCCATCCCACAACCGCACCCGGGCATCGATCAGCCTCCCGTTGTATCTGTATCAGATGGAAATTCCTCCGGTAGAGCCATGGAAAGCTTCTTTAACAACGTGGTCAAAGATGATGTTAAATAATGTGGGAGCCAGAGGACATCCCTGTCGTACCCCAAGGTGAACAGGGAATGGCTCCGACTCCTAGCCACATAACTTTACCTGGGCCTGTCCACCATCATAAAGGCCCTTAATAATTTTGAGCCGAGAGTCTGGAACTCCGAAAGCATGATGAACTGCCCACAGCCCTATCCTGATGGTATCATAGGCCTTGACCAGGTCAAAAAGCAGAGATGTAGGCCTTGTTGGAATTCCCTACACCTCTGCTGTAGCAGACAGACAGAGAATATGGCATCCGTGCAGGACCACCCTGGTCTGAAACCACATTGGGGCTCCACAAGCCTCTCCTCAGCATGCCTGGGAAGGCGATGTTGAATAATCCTTGCCAGGACCTTTCCCGACACAGTGAGAAGAGAGATGCCCCCATAGTTGTTACAATCTGTCCGGGGACCACCAGGGCATCTTTCCAATCCTGCGGAACCTATCATGTCGTCCAGACAGTTGTGATGATTTCATGTAGGGCAGTCTGCACACAGGTGCCACCCTCCCTCAGCATTTAGCTTGGGAAATCGTCTCTGCCAGGCACTTTTCCTGGTGTCAGACTTCGGATTGCCCCTCGCACTTACTCCACAGATGGCACCTCAGCCAACCATTCAGAAGGGGTGGCTACTTCTGCCAATATTTGAGGCACGGCAGTCTTAGCAGAGTCGTCCAAACCTTGCCCCATGATGTTGTCTGGGCTGAGGGAATTCCCCTCCCTCAAGACCTCACAAAAATAATTTTCAAACCTGCAGATCTATTCCTGGGGGTCGGAGGTCAGATTAACGTCCTTTCCCTTAAGCATGTTGATAGATGAGGTACTGCTGGTTACTTCTTGATGGAATTAAATAGTGATTTGTGACTGTGGGCTACTGAGGCAGATTCCATCTCCTGAACAAACTGCGCCCACCACTCATCCTTGCAGCTCCGCACGGCCCTCCGAATCTCTGAGCGAAGGCTGCGCTAAGCCTCCTCATTCTCCGATGTTGGATGTTGTAGACGGGAGTGGGTCTGTCGTTTTGTCTCTACCAGCGGAACACCTCCTCCTTCAGCCAGCGTATCTGAGGTCTGGACCATGGGTGGAAAAAACCCGATTTTTCCAGCGGCAGGCATCGGGTTTTTTCTTTAATACAATTAAACCCGATTTCGGGGAATTAAAACCTGGTTTAATGAATACGAAACTCTGATCCAAGGCTTAGGCTGCTTCCTGGTCGGTGCTGCTATCGTACTCGGGGCCGTCGGGCACGGGGTAGTCGTAGAATGCGGCGGGCAGGTTGGTCTTGATGAACACGAGCTTCTCCACAATCGTGGGCGCCAGTGAGTTCCTTAGCTTGGAATGGATGAAGCCCATCGTTGAGAAGTGCGGTTCTGCAATTAGAACCAATTAAACCGGATTTCTCCCAATCTCAGATGATCGGGTTTCATATAAAAAGACAATTAAACCCGATTGTAAAAAAACCCGACTGTGCCACCCTTGGTCTGGACTGCATACCCATCGCAGCCGTTGCAGCTGCATGAGCCACAGTCCTGAACCTCACCTATTTACCCTCAGCATCAGAAGGAGGGGGGGGGGGGTATGATGCGAACCTCAGCTGCAAGGGATGTTGAAAGTCCTGCTTGCAACTATCGTCAGCTAGCTGAGACCAGGCCAACATCATCACCACCACCACCACCAATACCCACCATTCGCCAAGTGACGTCACCACGGCGCCTGTGCCAGGCCAGGTGCATTTTGAGGCCACGTGGAGTGTTGAAGGCTCGCTGACAGGTCTCGGGACAGACCCAGGTGCCATGCGTTGGCTGAGATGATGGTAGTTACCACCAGTGCCCCCCCTCCACTGTGCCAACTTTGCCAACTCGCTGTATTTTAGCCGCTCGGTGTTCCGCTCATTGTTGTGAGCGTCGCTCCTCTACCCTCACCACCACCACCATCATCATAATCACCACCATTACCACCACCATCATCACTATCAACACCACCATCATCATAATCACCACCATCATCACTATCACCACCACCATCATCATCACCAAAGAAAACAAAGATCCCCCATGTAGCCTTAACAAACTGTTGGGGAAAGTGCTGTTAGCGAGCACCTATGAAGGCCGGCACGGCACACGAGGGGGTTGGTAGCCAGCACCACGCCCGACCGCCTTTGTCTCCCTCGTGGCGAGGTTTACTACACACCGCTACACCAGGTACTCATTTGAGGCTGAGTCGACCTCGCGTCTTGCGCTGACTGACTCAGCACTCACCTCGCTCCTTGCGCTGACTTCTCGCGAGATCAGTGGGTAACGGGCGACGAGTCTCGCGAGATCAGTGGGTAACGACGAGGAATTTCGCGAGAGCAGTGGGTAACGACGAGGAATCTCGCGAGAGCAGTGGGTAACGGGGAGGAATCTCGCGAGAGCAGTGGGTAACGACGAAGAATCTCGCGAGATCAGTGGGTAACGACGAAGAATCTCGCGAGATCAGTGGGTAACGACGAGGAATCTCGCGAGAGCAGTGGGTAACGACGAAGAATCTCGCGAGATCAGTGGGTAACGACGAGGAATCTCGCGAGAGCAGTGGGTAACGACGAGGAATCTCGCGAGAGCAGTGGGTAACGACGAGGAATCTCGCGAGAGCAGTGGGTAACGATGAGGAATCTCGCGAAAGCAGTGGGTAACGACGAAGAATCTCGCGAGATCAGTGGGTAACGGGGAGGAATCTCGCGAGAGCAGCGGGTAACGATGAGGAATCTCGCGAGAGCAGCGGGTAACGACGAATCTCGCGAGATCAGTGGGTAACGACGAGTCTCGCGAGAGCAGTGGGTAACGATGATGAATCTCGCGAGATCAGTGGGTAACGACGAGGAATCTCGCGAGAGCAGTGGGTAACGACGAAGAATCTCGCGAGATCAGTGGGTAACGACGAGGAATCTCGCGAGAGCAGTGGGTAACGACGAGGAATCTCGCGAGAGCAGTGGGTAACGACGAGGAATCTCGCGAGAGCAGTGGGTAACGATGAGGAATCTCGCGAAAGCAGTGGGTAACGACGAAGAATCTCGCGAGATCAGTGGGTAACGGGGAGGAATCTCGCGAGAGCAGCGGGTAACGATGAGGAATCTCGCGAGAGCAGCGGGTAACGACGAATCTCGCGAGATCAGTGGGTAACGACGAGTCTCGCGAGAGCAGTGGGTAACGATGATGAATCTCGCGAGATCAGTCGGTAACGAGGAATCTCGCGAGAGCAGCGGGTAACGACGAGGAGTCTCGCGAGAACAGTGGGTAACGACGAGGAATCTCGCGAGAGCAGTGGGTAACGACGAGGAATCTCGCGAGACCAGTGGGTAACGACGAGGAGTCTCGCGAGAACAGTGGGTAACGACGAGGAATCTCGCGAGAGCAGTGGGTAATGACGAGGAATCTCGCGAGACCAGTGGGTAACGACGAGGAATCTCGCGAGAGCAGTGGGTAACGGGGAATCTCGCGAGAGCAGTGGGTAACGGGCGAGAGGTAACAGGGGACGAGTATCGGTTGAGCGATTCCTCGCCCCAACCGATCCAGGTAATCGATTCCGATAGATTTCGTCGCCCTGGCGTCGTGAGCGGGAATCGTGCGACCTAAGGCATCGATTCACGTCCGAGCGATGTCGGTGACTTTTCACGCGGACATCGATTCGATTCCTCGCTTAACCCAATGGCGAAATCGGAATCGCCAATCGGTGTTGACAGGTGGCGTGGACGGGCGAATCGATCCAGTGTCAGGGTCGTGGCTACGGCCCTCACTCACTCACCTCCTCCTCAACTCAACTCACCTCCTCACCACTTCGTCACCCTTCACCTCCCTCACCTCTCCTCTCCTCCCTCACCTCTCCCTCACCACTCACCACCTCCTCCTCACCACCTCTCACTCCCCTCAACTCACCTCCTCACCACCTCCGTCATCTCTCCCTCACCTCACCCCTCACCTCTCCTCCCTCACCTCACCTCCCTCACCTCTCACCCCTCACCTCTCCTCCCTCACCCCTCACCTCTCACCCCTCACCTCTCCTCCCTCACCTCACCTCCCTCACCCCTCACCTCTCACCCCTCACCTCTCCTCCCTCACCTCACCTCCCTCACCCCTCACCTCTCACCCCTCACCTCTCCTCCCTCACCTCACCTCCCTCACCCCTCACCTCTCACCCCTCACCTCTCACCCCTCACCTCTCACCCCTCACCTCACCTCCCTCACCTCTCCCTGACAGTTCTCTCCCAGGAAGCTCCTCTCATCACGGAGCCGCGCTCACTGTGAGTAGTGTCAGTGACGGTGGTGATGTTGGTGATGTCGGTAACGATGGTGATGGTAACAGTGGTGATGGTAACAGTGGTGACGATGGTGTTGGTAACGATGGTGATGGTGGTGATATAGTAAGGGGGGTGATGATGGTAACGGTGGTGATGGTAACAGTGGTGATGGTAACAGTGGTGACGATGGTGATGGTAACGATGGTGATGATGGTAACGATGGTGATGATGGTAACGATGGTGATGGTGGTGATATAGTAAGGGGGGTTGATGATGGTAACGGTGGTGATGGTAACAGTGGTGATGGTAACAGTGGTGACGATGGCGATGATGGTGATGATGGTAACGATGATGGTGATGGTAACGGTGGTGATGGTAACGGTGGTGATGATAGTAACGGTGATGGTAACGATGGTGATGGTAACGGTGGTGATGATGGCAACTATGGTGATGATGGTAACTATGGTGATGGTAACGGTGGTGATGATGGTGACGGTGGTGATGATAGTAACGATGGTGATGATGGTAACGATGGTGATGGTAATTGTGATGATGGTAACGGTGGTGATGATGGTAACGATGTGATGGTAACGGTGGTGATGATGGTAACGATGGTGATATGGGGAGCCTTACGAATCCGTTCCACCCGAGTTCAATTCCCACTCACGGCCACCAACAAGCGATGATATCGATCATCTGAACCGGTCCTGGGCATCCCCGAGGTCGACTCAGCCTCAAATGGGTACCTGGTGTAGCGGTGTGGAGTCAGGGAGACAAAGGCGGCCGGGCTAACAGCACTTGCCCCTACAGTCTGTTACAGGCTACCTGGGGAAGCTGTGTCTTGGTGATGGTGATGTTGGTTGTTAGATAGATAGATCGTTTATTAGTCATTGTCACCAGTACAACGAAATTTAAAATGCTCACCAGTCAGGGCATCATTCATAAATTTAAATTAAATAAAACAAGAAAATAAAAATAAATTAAATGAAAGATAATCAATTTATACTATATATAAAAACAGCCCAAGTATACCCACATACCCACATAAGGTTACATTTTGTCATTGCACATCTCTATTTCACAATCAATTGTAAACACTATTACTTAATAATTATGTTGATGTTCATATTGGTAGATGGTGATGATGGTGAGTGCTAAAGTGATGTCTTTAGATAAGATTGTTGATAACGATGCTGATGATGATGATGGTGGAGGTGATCATGCTCCTGTTACACACAACGACTGGAGTATGGGGCCGTCCATAAATGACGTCACACGATTTTGGACGATTTTTGACGATTTTTGACCCTCCCCCCCCCTTCGTCACACAAAAAGTGTGACCCCCCCCCCTCAAATATGACGTCACAAACATATGACGTCACAAACATGCTTTAAAATCTCTTTAAACTATTGTCATTGTAGTGCGTATTTAATGTGGCGCTGCACTCTGATGTTGTAGGAGAAAACATTTATTAAAAAGTCTATTTGGTTAAGTAGAACGTTTCGATTTAAAGCTTTCGTGACTGCAGGGGTTCATCTTCTTGGTTCTTTCGGTAAAGTCATCGCGTGGAAGGGAAATAATAAAATTATAAAAATAAAACATTAAATCATTCTCACGACGTTTCGGCCACAACGCAAGCAGCCGTCCTCAGGTGAAGAACAGGTCTGTCGAGAAGACACCCCAGGCTTGGAGAGTCTATTTAAGCTGGGTTGAAGGTGGAAGAGCGCCTTGACAAAATAATTTGCATATCAAAATGAATTTTAGCATATTTATGGGAAATGCAGATATGCGATTAGTTCTACTTGTGAAATGATTTTATTATGTTTTATTTTTATTATTTTATTATTTCCATTCTACGTGACTTTACCGAAAGAACCAAGAAGATAAGTAGAACGTGTTGTCTATATTTATTTAAAGTTGCGCATTTTGATGTGACGTCACATTTCTCACCCCCCCCCCCCCCTCGTCACACATCGTCACAAATGTCTGACCCCCCCCCCGCCCCCCCTAGGTACGTGACGTCATTTATGAACGGCCCCTATGATGGTTAATAGTGGTGGTGGTGGCTCTAGAAAATACCTCGATATACTAAGCGGATCCTGGAGCTTCGTTTGTATTTGGAAACTTGCCACGAGTAACTGATGTTATACAGATGTAGACACTTCGTAACTTACCGATCATATTGTAAACACAAGACCATTTATATAAAATTGAAAATCGAAAAAGGTAAACGTGGTAAAAGCGGTAAAAGCAAGGCCGTAGCCATGGAGTGAACATTCAGGGGGGGACCAAATCTTCCAGGGGGTCTGGGGTCCCCCCCCCAGAAAAAAAAATCGAAATTTGAAAACGAATTTCCTGCCTAAAATATTAATAAATTCACTAACACTTGGGATGCACTTTTTATTTCTTTTTTACAATAATGTCTAATAGTGTATTGTATTACATTGCTCTGTGTTTACCTTTTTTTGACCATTTCTTGTTTCATTGTATGTAATGGCTGAGATTAGGGATTCATAAAGTACAACCATAACCACAATCATATAAACAGAAATCTATTTTATAGCAATATATTGGGGGGGACATTTTTTAGCACATTTGAATATTGGGGGGGGGGGGGGGGATGTGCCCCCCCCCCCAATATCTCCATATATATATAAAAAGCAAAGTTGTGATTATGTGTGTCTGTTCAAAATGTTTAGTGTACTTCCCGACATGCAACAAACTTGAAATTTACCATGTGGGTACTTTCCAGACTGTACACCATGCAACAATTATAAAAATACACTTTTGGTTTTTTTTTGGGGGTGGGGGGGGGGAGCTCAATAATGCAGAATTGTTTTGCCCAGCAAGTTATCTGTGACGTCAAATCTGTGTGGTGTAGAGGCTGTCTCTGTGTCCAGGTGTCTCTGTGGTATAGCGGCTGTCTCTGGGTCCAGGTGTCTGTGGTGTAGAAGCTGTCTCTGTGTCCAGGTCTCCGTGGTCTAGAGGCTGTCTCTGTGTTCAGGTCTCCATGGAGATGGACCCAGTGTGCCCCTGGGTTCCGCCAGCTGCTGCTGCTGCTGCGCTTGAGGTGGCGCTCGTGAAGCAGGAGGAGCAGACGCCATGGGCGCAGGCGGCGGTGAAGCTGGAGGGTGAGGGCCCCTCCTCCCCCTGCACTCACCGCCTACTCACCACACTCACCACACTCGCTTTACTCACTCACCATGCTCACTCACCACACTCACCATACTCACTCCCTACTCACTCACCACGATCACTCACCACACTGACCCCACTCACTCCCTACTCACCACACTCACTTTACTCACTCACCACGCTCACTCACCACACTGACCCCACTGACCCCACTCACCCCATTCACCCCATTTACACACCACACTCCAGTGGCGGCTCGTCAATAGAGGGCGCAGGGGCGCCGCCCCCATCAATATTCAAGAAATATACATATACAAAATTTATATAAAAATACATAAATAAAATATTTTTTTCATACGATGTGCCGGCTGGTAGTAAGAAAAGCATCAGCATTTAATAAAAACTGTCTTTAATCGGTCAACTATTTTCTATGTTTTTCAATGTGTTTCATGCGGGGCACCGGACAAATGGATGTCTATGTGAGACTTTAAATTTTCGGACAGCATGTGACCTGAAGCTGGTCTCTAATTGGTTTCTTAAAGATTCTCCTCGGGGCGCAAGTCGTTGCGTCCCTGGCCAATCAGAATTGGATACATGTTATTTTATCCAATCTGATTGGTTCTCGTCACCTGTCATTCAAATTTACGCTCTGGGCCACTACTGCGAGTGCGCAGGCGACACCACTTTGACACTTGCTAGGCTGATCAATTTTTTTGTGTAAACAATGGCAGCAGTTCATCCAAATTCTGTAATTTATTTACAAAAAAACCCTTTCACAAGGCTTTCGCTGGAAGAAATAAAAAAGATAAAGGATCTCGGACCGGACCAACCCGATTTACAAATCCAGCAGCAGGCCAGTGACAGAGGACGAAGCTACACACGAAGCTTCACCCGCGCTTGTTATGAGAAACGGAGGTGGCTGGCTGGATGTGATGTTAGCAATTCTCTTTTTTGTTTTCCCTGTCTTTTATTTCAAAGTGTCGGCACTGAAGTTTTGTGGACAACGACGGGGGTAAGAGACCTCAAACATCTCTCTGACAAATGCAAACGTCATGAAAGTAGCCGCAGCCATATTGATAATAGCATGAAACTAACGTTTTTATGTTCAAGTAGGAAACATGCTTTTTGGTACTTTGGTCTGAAATGTATATAAAAGAGAAACATTTATGTTCAAGTAGGAAACATGCTTTTTGGTACTTTGGTCTGAAATGTATATAAAAGAGAAACATTTATGTTCAAGTAGGAAACATGCTTTTTGGTACTTCTTTTGGTCTGAAATGTAAATAAAGATCATCAAAATTTATATTCAAGTAGTCAAAATGGTTTT